GACTCGACTGCTGTAAATTCAAGCTCTGTTCTTAGACTACACCATGCACTGCTTTTGTAATGCAAATGGAAGGCACAAAGTGTCCCTTTGATAATGTGCAGTCAGGAGACAAAAAAAGCATTCACTGCAACAGTAAAACTAATTCATAAAGCTGAGAGACAATAGGAAAGCATTATGGATATTAAAAAAATAGTAATTTCTCGTAGATCAACTTGATCATTAATGCAAACAGTTCAAATGCAAACCAGAAAGAAGCTGGGGACGGGAGAGACCCGAATTGCTGTGCTGACACCTTTGCTAACCCTGAACAAGTTTAGGTAAAGCAAGAATACAGAGTTCAGCATAAAGTCAATGTACAGTTTGTCACTGGATGGCAGATCCTTGGGCTTTATTCTGGATCCTGAGTTAGGCTGGGTTTCTCTTCAGAAACAAGGAAACCACAGTATTGGGATTTTTTTTCTTCTTGTATTTTGATGTTAGAAAACTGTTAATAAACACTCCTGGGGCATAAATTTTAAGGGGGTGATTTCATCACTTACCAGAGTTTAGCTCAAGGTCATCTCACCTTGGTGCCTTACACTGAGCTCCGGAGGAGGCGGAGGGCTGGAGGAAGAGGATGAAAGGGCATCCGAAATGGTTCTCGCGGCTCGGCCAGCCAAGCGGCGGCACTGCCACGATAAGGGCCATGCTGGATGGTTGCCACAGCCTCCTCCAAACGGAGCATGCAGCCTTTCTCTTGGGCACTGCTTCTGCCTCAGTGCTGTCCTGGAGCTGGTTGGCAGTCTTGGTGTTGAGCTGGTTTGGTGCCGTAAGGAATTAGTAATCTGGGGGGTGAGAAGGGTGAGCAGGATTATTTTCCCATTTTTCTGGCACCATTATGCACTGCTGTCTCAGAGGAGGAGGGGAGGCAGTGCTATTGATGCCGGGTTACAGATGAGATAAAGTCTGTTGCTGTCCTGGCATCCAGCATTTGCTGCCTGGGGTGGAAAATTTGAGGAAAGGAGTACATTTGGACAAGGTGTAGCATTAAGAGACAACCTTGGATGCTTTCCAGTTGTACCTAACAGAGACTTTACCCACCATCTGTAGTCAAAGGTGATTAAAAAAAAATCTTACTGTTTCTTTTGCTAAAAATGCTCTCAAGCTGCATTAAAAAATGGATTTTTATTAAGACTACTGCTCACTAAATACCATTCATAAAACAGTGGCGAGAAAATATGATGGAAAGTTAAATTTTTCTCTCTTTCTCTTTGATTTCTTTGTTACTGCTAAAATGACTGCTCTGACTCATATTTTGCATAGTTATTTTTACCTTTTCAAATGTTCCTTAACTGTTCATATTACCCTGGACAAATCCCCCAGGGATAATTTTCATTTGCATGCAGACTTTGATGGTGTTATTAAGCAATCACTTTCTGTACTAAGTCATTATTAAAAGTAATACCACAGAGCCTCAAAAACACATTAATGGTGCCAAACAATCCACATTTCAATGCTAGATTTATGGAAAGGGAAAAGCACAAGGTCTCATATCATTCAGTGGATGCTGCTGTATGGCTCTGTAGTAACAGCAGCAGGCTTGATCAGAAAATATCAGAGCCAAATTCAGAGCCCTTATCTGTTGTCAGCCTTAGTTCTTTAAATGCCCTTTTTTGGTTTTGTTTTTGTTTTTGTTTTTAACCTGCCTCCTTCCTATTTGTTTTTCCACTTGGATTTACCTTTTCCTCCATCCTTGGCAAGAAAGCCTGTCTGCAATCTTCCAGTATACACAAGCTGGGCTGGTTCTAGGAAGGAGGGTCAGCCTTCCCATCTGTAATCACTGTTTTATGGCTTTCACACGAGGTGTTAATGCAGATCAAATGGAAAACAGTCCAGCATGAGTGTTACAGCTTCTCATGCTGCCCTGCATACGGTCCCAATCGTTAATTCTGATTATAAGACCTAAAGGTAATTCTGTTTGCTCTCCTAATGCATTGCAGCTCTCCCAGTGGTCCGGTGTCTCTTTTCTCCAATTCCCATCTTGATCAATTGTTTGCAAATAATTAAGCTTTTAAGAGATAATGGTAGGAGCTAATGTACACAACAAAGTAAAGGTCTCAAGTCACTGTTTATTGAACAGTTTGCCTTGATAACAAAGTGATCCAGAGTGATAGGTACACTTGTCAGCTGAAGTCACAGCAGTGTTTTTAGTCATTCTTCCCTATGTATTTATATATTTCGTAAAATTATAGAATATCTCAAGTTGGAAGGAACCCATAAGGACCAAATCCATCTCTCTCCTCTTCACACAACTACCTTAAACAACCATTTGACTAAGATATGTTTTATATATGCTCATACAAATATAATCTATACACACACAATATATATCCATATCTATGTGCATTTGTCTTTATCTCTTCAAAGAGCCATTAGAAAGTTTTCAGAAGACACTGCTCATTCTTGCATAGGTGGAGTTAAGACCAACAGCAATGGTTTTGATTGAATTTCCTATTTCTTCATAAAATGGCATTTCTCAGGGTTTCCCTCTTTCTCTCTGTTGCAGTGTGATGTCTGCCTTTGCCTGTAGCACAGGCCTTCCAAGCCCTGTGGGTGGAGATGCAACAAGGCTTTGAATATTTTTATAGCAACCTAGCCTGTGGCACGCTGGTTCTTTGCCAAGTCATTTCTATTATTTTATTTTATTTTATTTTTAGTCTACATAGGAACAACTCATATGATCCGCAGAAAGCTTATATAATAATGTTGCTTAGTGTTTAAGATTACTTTAAAGCACACTGAATCATAGTTAAAAAGTCTGCTGCACTGTGACCCTTTAGCTTAGAGGGATTAGCTGTGTGAAATCCCAGGCTGTCATGTGATTATGGCAATTACGATTTATTATGAAATTAAAAGTTTATGCTTACTAGGATATGGGAAAAAAAATCAGATGACCTTAGACATACCACAATTTGAGGAATTTGTAATTCGGGACTTTTAAAGCAATTATTTTTACAGTGACAATATTATTCTGATGGCTAATTTTATCCAATCTTGTCTATTTAAAAAAAAATGTCCAGAACAATTGAAAATTGCTTAATGGAGACAGACTTCTCAATTCCAATAGCTAGAGGCTGTCTAGTAATTATTGCTTGCTGCATGAAATTAGACACAGTTTGTTCAATTACTTAAAATTAGATCACATGTAAGGTGGCAAAGCAAAATAAGAAAAAAAGAATAATTCTGTCCTTGCTTGATAGCAACGTAATGAAATGAGAAATAAGCTGTAAAGATGAATATGTTACAAATCATCTCTGTAGGGTTTGGTGTTTTTTTGTTGAAGGGAAGCGAAATGTTGTGTTCAGATTGACAGACGTAAGTATGACTGTTGTGGATGAATGTGTGTAGAAGGCAGACAGTAAAATACATGCTATATTTTTGCATGTGTAAAATGCAAATTACCCTTAAAAAAAAAAGAAGTCAAATCCTCTTCCTTCTGTTTTTCACTTTCCAATTCTGGAATTGTTTCATGTACACACAGAAAATAAAAGGAATGGTTTACAGGTGTGCAGGTCATCTGTGGGCCTCCTGTCAAGAGAACAGTACTTTTAAAAGAATTGAAAATTCCTCAACATTTTTGGCTGGTAAAAGATAAAAAGTCTTTTATGGAACCGATTGCCATGGTGGTGGGCTTTGAAATGGATGTATTGAGTTAAGAGAAGTTCCTGGAGTTAAAACAAAAATCCCTGTTTGGTAGTGTGAGGTGATACTTGCATGTAACATAGCCATGAGAAGTCAGACTATGCTGTTTACAAGAATATGTAAAATTTGCTAAATAGTTATAATGTCAAGAAGATTGTGGAATTTTACGAGGTTTTAAATTCCTGTGCTTTACAAGGGTTCAGTTTATGTCACATGTAATATTACTCTGAAGAATACATCCAGAGAATAAGGGAATATTTGAGGGGGGGAAAAAGGATGAATGTGTAACAGTAAATACTTTGTGACAAGCAACTGCTAAATGGTATTGGGATAGGACTAACCAATTATATCAAATGATCTTTATTGAAATGCTATTAAGCAGCTTGCAGCAATTCAGGTCTGAATCAGATATGTACTGAGATTTGGGCATCCAGGTTAGGAGCTGAACCAACTCCTCAAAACAGAATTTTTCCTTGAAACTGTTATATTTGCAGTATTTGGCCATTGTCTTTTGGGGCAGTGACATTTTTGCATAGATGGGAAGGACATAAAATATATTTCTACATTTCAGACTTGGTTGTGGTTTTTGCTGTTGATTTATTAAGCAATCTGTATTCATGCAGAAGCAAATTTTCTGAGAAAGCAAATCAAGTTCTCACAAGAAACTTACGATTGAATTATAACATTATCTTCAATTAAAGGAGTATTTATTTTCTGTCTCTTAGGATTAGCACAGCACAGCTATGCTAATGTCAGACAAAAATGTGCTGATTGTTGACCTTGCATTGGCCTGTGTTCAAAACACAGGCATTTGTTTGTGTTCAGGATGCTGATCTTATTTGCAAATTATGTTGGGGCACTGGCAAGTTTTACCTTCACTATCTCAGAAAACATCAGTGGGTTTTAGTTTTACAGAGAAGCGCTTTATCACATTCTTTGTTGTTCTGTTAAAAACAGAAAAAGGAGAAAAAATTAGATTATTTTACTCTAATTGGTCATTTGAGACAAGTGCAAAAAATTTTGAGCTAATGCAACAAATATCCTTCTCAAGTATCAAGGTACTGTCATTATCCTAAGCAGTTATTTCTCCACTTCACTAATCTTTATAATTAGCTTGTCTTTTACTGCCATTAATTAAGTGATGTAGTAGCCCATTAATAATTATAAAAGAGTGACACACCTCAGCATTTTCACCTTACAATAATAGATGTCATGCTTCTGTTTTGGTTTGGGTATTTTTTTTTGTTAATTTAAAATAAAAAAGTAGGCCAAAAAAGCACATTGTTTTAAATGTTTGTATTTATTTTGGTGTCTTATAGCACCCTTATCCTTCAGAAGAGCAGAAAAAGCAGTTGGCACAAGACACAGGGCTCACTATACTTCAAGTGAACAATTGGTAAGTAATTTTCCTTAGTGTTTCTATATGGCCACTGGCACCCTCTGGCTTTTCCTTTGTGATTTTGGGGACACACCTTGTCCTTGTTTTTCCCCTCTCCAGCAGTTTATTGATACAAAAGGGATATAACCAGGTGAGTGGTTTTAGGTGTAGAGAGTATGAGGTTTGCTACTGTATTTTAGTTTTCCATCATTCGGGCAGGTCTTAGTGTATTCATATTTGATACCAGTCCTCCTTCTGATTGAGGATGTTTTTCAATAGGAAGGCACATTCATTTGCAGAACATTGGTCTTGGAAGAGGTTCAGATGTTGGAGGCAAAATAGGGACAATTGGTCCCATTTCTGCTGAGCGTATTGTTATTTGGGGCTGCAGTCATACTTTTTATAGTGTTGTTAGAGGGGTTTTTCCTTTTGACTGACATTCATTTTGACTGACATCTCTTTATCAGTTTGTTTTCAAAATCCAGTTTATAAATAAACTTTGAGGACAATCTGGTTCTTTGCTGTTGAAGTACAGTGTGGAGCAATTTTATTTATTTGCTCCAGCTGAGGGTTGGTGGAACCCTGCTCTGTTACAGTAGTGATTCATTTGGAGGAAGTCAGGATCCGTGCTCTTTCTGCAGTGGATTTTGGGTTGCTAACTGTTCAGGGTATGGTGAAGGCAACCAGTGAAAATTGCTCATGATTTAAGTATCATACAGCAGCAAACCTCTTTAAAAAAAGTTTGATTTATTACCCTTTGATACTGCATCAAAATGTGGGTTCCTCCCACTATCCCAGAACAAGTGTCATACTTGAAGTGTATTGCAATCTAATACCTTGTAAAACTAAGTGTATCTAATTAATTGTCCTAATATTTTTAGATGAGTGTTTATGATGGGAAACCTTATCCTCTTTGAAGTAATACCCAGAAAATGGCCAAGGCAAACAGCAAGCCTGCTAGGGAAAAGGGAGGGAGGAATGCCAGCTTGCAGACAAAAGTTGGGGGTTTTTTTCCTGTTCAATAAGTGTCAGAGATTAATATTACTGAAGCTCTGATTACATGGCCTAATCCATTTTCGTGAATAAATTTGGTCTTGATGTCCATTGCACCTACATTAACAAACCCTCCTCTCTTAGGGAGCGTAGGAGCCTATGGGAGAGATTTCAGATATATTAAACCCCATTACAGAAAATGTAATTTCTGTCAATATAATCCCATGTATTCTTCAATTTAGTACTTTAGAGATAACAAGCTACTTACAATATATTTGCCTTCGGAGGATTAATTTACAAAGTGCACTATCTGGGAGACGCAGGCGGGCTCACATAAGCATAGCTTGTAAGGGTTATCAATTTCTGTGACCCCCACAGCAGCCCTTGGAGATCAATTTTTTGAAGCCCTTTAAGATGCTGAATAAAGGAAAATACCAAATACTTAGTGTATATAAAGTATGCTTCCAACATACTTACTTTAAAATGGAGGAATAAAAGGCATAAAACGTAAAATTTACATGTTGTAAGGTAGTGTAACCCCCTGTATTTTGGCTCAGCCAGAAAAAATTAGTGTTTGCTTCAACTTTACATCCTCCAGCCTTCATCCAGGTGTTACCCTAATTTATATGGCTGTCCTCCAGCTTAACAGTGGGTACTTTGGCCACTGAGAAGCTGTGGATACTCATCAGGGTCTTGTTTAACAATGGGGTGGAGAAAGGGCGTGTTGCTTCTGCAGGGTCTGGGAGTGCAGGATTCAACGTGGACAAATGTGTCAGTATGGGATGGTCCGTCAAAAATAAAATTTTCAAGATGATAAACATAAGATGGATTCAGCTAAAACTGGTGGAATTTCTCCAGAGTGACCTTCAGTAGGTTTTCTTTCAGTTTTCTTTCCAGAGTGTTTTTCGGTACCCATCTCTCCTCAAATATGAGGAGTTTTTACTTTGGCTTTGTGTCAGGTGTGCTCTTATAAGTTCCTTATGTGCAAGGAAAAAAAAAAAAGAGGTCAAAATACATTATAACTGAAGTCTTGTGGATGTAGGGCAGACTTCCTCTGCTTGAGCTACTTCAGTAATTCTGCTATACGATTGTATAAATTATTGAGACAATTCCCCTTCTCTCCCCTGAGGCACAAGGATTTAACACTATAGAGGCAGTGGGGCTTTCTTCAATCACAGGTAGTGGGCAGAGATGCCAAAATATGGCATTTCAGCCCCTGCTTTTTGTAATGGATGCTAAGGAACAAGGAGACTGTGAAACTGTTGCTGAGTGTGCAGGTTGCACAGGGAATACTCAGCCATGAGGTGACCAGTGAGCTGCTCATCCCCTCCCAAATCCTGAGGGCTAGGGAGCAACCTTCTCAAACATTTTGATGGATCCCTTTTCTTCTAAGGCAATGTACAGAAGGAACTCTTCCTATCTAAATATTTTGCTTCAGGGAAGAGCAAACATATAATTTCTGGTTAGTTTTGCCTTTCTTAAGCAGGCTCGTAAGTCATTCAGCCACAACTCACAAAAAAAATTTGCCTTCCTCCTTAGATTCTTCCAAACTTGTTAACACACATGTACATTTTTGTATTAATGATGAGTCATTGTAAATCACTGTTGCAGAGATTAAATAAAATGCTGAAGGGCAGGCTGGGTGCAGATCAGTCATAAATTATTGGCAGCAACACAGCACGTGGGAATACACGAAATGTGCATGAAAAACATAAACTCATGTCTGGTAGCATGGTCGTTAGCCCAGACTGGGAATGCTGGATTTTCTGGCTGGAATTAGAAGTTTGCCACAGACCAGTCAGTGAAGAGAGCATTTGTTTTCTGCAGACTTAAAGCATTTAAACAATTTTTTTTGGTCATATTTTGAATGCCTTTTCGGTATGTGCTGGTTGCATACTTCAGTTCTCTGCCATAACGAAAAAAATGTTGATTTTCACATATGGACTGCCCTGGTGTAGGGGCTCCCCAGGCTGATGCACATAACCCCTGTTGATGGTGGAAGAGTCATAGGAATAGGGTGATGATGTGAAATGTGCAAGAAAATATATCTGTGAAAGGGCACACGTCTTTAAAAATATCACAGTCCCTTTACCATGACCCTTTTCATTGGGTTGTTTTATTTTTTTTTAAAGTAATGAAATAATCCACAGAGAGGATTTTTCCCTTTTCTTTTTTTTTTCCCCCACATGATGACTTGTGAATCACCAGCGTTGTCTTCTAGGACCATCTTTTTTGCCTCAGCCAGATGTTTCTGCTGTGGGAAGAGGGAGCCCTTACCCTTTTGCAAAATAAAAATAAATCTGTGGAAGGTAGGAAGATAGCAGAGTTCAAATGTCATTAGGCTAAATGAACCATTCAAGTCTCTGTTGTATTGGTTGTTTAACCCCACAGTAGTTTAGGGTTCCAAGCAGAGTCATATGAACAATAAGGGGCACTTGTATGATTCCTGTATGGACATGATGGAGACCTGAACAGGAACAGGTTAATGAGGTGCTTTTCCCAGGTGATAAAAACAATGAATTGAAATATCCAGTTGTGATCCAATCACTTCTTACCTCACCTGAGAGCCAGTCAAGCTATATTGAACAATCTATACGTATTTCTTGTTTACTACACATCCCAGCTGAAACCCTTCCCATTAAGAGCTAATGGTAAATAATTACTGGTGGTAGTCTATGAAGAAGAGAGAGCAATTCTAATCAAGGGCTGCATTAGATGTCAGATGCTTGTTTATGTTTTAGAAAAGTCTTGGTGCACACAGATAGATATTTATATACTTGTAGAATAATGTGCCTATATAACCACCCTATATGTGCATGTCTATATGTGACTCTTTCTCTAAATAGCGTTGCATCCAACTGCATTTAAATGATGCAAAAAATAAATTGAGAATTCAAATCCTTAAAGCTTCAGCCTTTATTAGGTGTTTCCGTTCTGCTTCTTCCAAATACCCTTGTGCTATCTAGGGCATGGCTCAGACAATGCTGGAGCAGCTAGTCAATATTTTATCTTGCCCTCATTCTTCCGTGCTTCGTTTGTTGAGCTGTATTCAAACTGTGCTTGAAGATGCAATTAATAATTACTGCTGGGCTTTCTTGTGGCCCTTACTGCTGTAATACCCAAGTCCTTCCCTGACCTCCACGTGCTTATATATGCATACAAGGTTGTTGGTGTGCATGGTATTTTTACAGTTACCCTGCAAAGAGAAAGAAAAGGGTTGTCCTGGTTCACTGGGGAAGAAGTGAGGCTCATAGAGGTCCAAGTCCAGCACAGTCACAAGTTTTGGGTTGGTCTGGGACTGTGAGGTGACTCAGAATTACAGCAATTTATTCACATTTAGGGTCCAGCGATCACTGAAACTTCACGTTTCATGGAAACTCCAAGTTTTGAGTACCTTGGTGTCTTACATTGCCAATGTCCACTGTTGGATATGGAGAAGTGAGAAATCAGTAACTTATGGTGAAAATTTTGGGGTCAGTGATTTACTCAGTAGCTTTCAATCAGTCCAAGGAAGCAGCAGAGCTGAATCCTCTTCTCCAGTGCAGCATTTGGCTGTATGAACTAGGTCTGGCTTGCTTTTCATCGTGCCTTAGTCATTCAACTTTGCCAAAGTTTATTACCTGTTGAAATAGATCTTTTTATTTTATAATGCCCTGGCCTGTTCTTAAAACAGACATAATTGTCACTGGGATGCTTGAGACATTGAGCCCTATCAAAAATTTTAGCATGAGTTGGTAACTGAACTGTAATGAAGTACACTAAAGCCTAGGGTGCAAGCAACTCTAGTAATATGGTGTCCTGACTCTTGAGTTCTTGAGTTTATATTCTTGGCTTCTTTAAATGTCAGTTTTGTATATAATTTCCTAGGCTTGCAAAAAATCTCAAAACAAACCCCAAGTAAACATATCAGAAAATTATTAAATAATATAATCCAAATATTTCCGTAATCTTATTCTTGGAGTCAGAGGAAGTGGATTTTACTGAAACCTTTTTAAGAAAGATGCTCCAAGACCAGACCAAAGATG